TGTTAATTAAGGTTGAGATGTAGGGTCCATTTACGAAAAGTACTATATGGTGATTGACTGACAGACTGATTTAACGATTCATCAACGCCAAGACGAAACGGCTGAAGCTAGAATCTTGAAATTTTGGGTGAGTGTCACTCTTGGTCCAAAGGTGACAGATAAGGCTGGGTTTTTGCAAATTCGTACTAGAACCGTACGAAAAGTACTAAGAAGTACTAAATATGGTATCATTTGTATTTGGCGAACCAGTAGAGCTAGAAATCTGAAATTTGGATTGAGGGTCACTGATGGAGTGTAGAATAGATGTAGCAAAGGAAATGCGAACTGAAATGTACTAAATTTTGTACAATTTCGTAGCAAGTGAATGGATTGAGCTAAAAACTTGAAATATGGAATGCAAATTAAGGTTGAGAATTAGGGTCGATATGAGGAGAGTTTGGAAAACGTGTACTCATGTGCACGAAAAGTACTATATGGTACTATATTTGGTACAAATTTGATTTGGAGGTACAAATCTAGCTGGAATCCTGGAATTTGAAATTAAAATTACCGTCGGAGTGTAGGATTGGGATATGAACGTAGTTTTGGAAATTTGTTACTTATGTGTATGAAAAGTACTATAATCGGTACAGTTTGGATTTGGGTGATCCTATAGAGCGGGAACAATGAAATTTGGAGTCAGAATCACTGTATTGGTGTGTGATTGGGGTCAGGATTCAGTTTACGAAAATAATACTTATGAGTACTAAATGGTACTAAATTTGGTACAATTTGAATTTTAGGTGAACCAATAGAGCTAGAATCATGAAATTTGGAGCGAGGATCACTGTTGAGGTGTAGGATGGAGATATGTAGGAAGTTTTAGAAATTTCTACTAATGTGTACTAAATTTGGTACAATTTGATTTTTTGGTTGAACCGAAAGAGTTGGAATCTTGAACTTTTGATTTATGAACACTGCGGAGGTGTAAGATTGTGTAAGGAAGTTTTAGAAATTTGTACTAATTTAGTACAATTTGAATTGTGGGTGAACCGAGAGTTGGAATCCTAAAACTTGAATTTAGTATCATTGTGGGGGTGTAGGATTGGGGTATGTGGGAAGTTTTGGAAATTGGTACTACTGTGTACTAAATTTGGTACAATTTGAATTGTGGGTAAACCGATAGAGTTGGAATCCTCAAATTTTGATTTAGGATCGCTGTGGAGGTGTAGAATTGGGGTATGTAGGAAGTTTTGGAAATTCATGCTACTGTGTACTAAATTTGGTACAATTTAAATTGTGGATGAACCGATGGAGTTGGAATCATGAAACTTGGAATTAGGATCAGTGTGGGATTGGGGTATGTAGAATGTTTTGGAAATTGGTACTACTGTGTACTAAATTTGGTACAATTTGAATTGTGAATGAACTGATAGAGTTTGAATCCTGAAAAATGGATTTAGGATCACAGTGGGGGTGTTGGTTTGGATTAAGTTGGATGTTTTTGAAATTCGTACTACTGTGTACTAAATTTGGTACAATTTGTATTGTGGTGAACCGATAGAAAAAATATAGAAAAAACGTATTAAATTTTGGAATGGATTGAATTATTAGATTTCAAGTTACCGCGCGATCACCTACAAACCCCAGTCATTTCATTTCCTGTATGATTCTTCGAACAAAAAATTCGGACAGAAACGACAGCCTAGAACAACAAACTAATTCACTCCTCAGATTATTTGGATAATTCTCCTTTGACGGATGAGAAAAATGCTATGGACCCCACGGTAATCAATTTGACAACCTCTAGTCAAAACAAACGGTCTCATATAGAAACTATATATTGACAATGTCTCTATAAAGTCTCAAATGCAAAAGAAAAAGACTGGGCTTCAAATAGAATTTTTCGGCAACCATTTTTTTCTGGTTGCTGTTTAGTGATGTTTAGCAATAAAAACTGAATTTTTTAGGCTTCCCATAATGGTTAAAATTACTACTAAACTTTTAAACTAAAGTAGCCATTCCTATTTAAATATAAATCGTGAACATCTTTTTTTGGGCTCATGATCAGCCTTATTCTGGATATTCGCTGGGAGATATATCTCGCATGTAAAAAAATTTCGCTTTCACATTCTCGCCGTATTCTGAATGAATAGGGAGACACAAAAAATGCGAGATGCGGCTTAAAATTCAGATCAAAATTTATTAAAACATAAAATGACAAAAAAAAACAAAAATTAATATGGTGAAAAATACAGTTAATTTCGTAGTCTTATTATCCCATTTGAAATTTTGAGAAATCGTAGCCAAAAGTTAAAATCTCCGCTTTTTACTCGAATTTAATGGGCATGTTCAAAGGTGCCCCATCCGTGGCACTTTACAGAAATGTAAAATAACTTTTTTTGTAATAAATATATATGAAAAAAATTACATTAGTTATGTTTGAAATGATTATTGGAATGCAAAAAATTTGTTTAACGAAAGAAAACTTTCACAGAATTCTTTCTGCGCCCTTACAACCAAAAGAATAAAAGTTTACAATTACACTGCGAAAACATGGTCACCCATGTACAATTTGTCGACAACTGAAAAAGCTAGCCAACGTGGTTTACGCAGATAATGAACAAGATTGCCATATACAAACATGTGGTAGCGGGTCGGAAAAAATTTAAACCAAGATTTTATGAGCGCTGTTCAAAGATGCCCTGTTCACACAAAACTGTGTAAAATTTGGAACGGATTCTATTATTAGTTTTCAATTTTTGGGCCAGCCTTCAAATCCCAGTTATGATTCTTCGAACAAGAAAATTCGGGCAGAAACAAAAGCGTAGAAAAAAAACTAATTCACTCCTCCTTTGATGGATGAGAAAGATGTTGTGGACCCCACCGTAATTAATTTGACACCCTCTAGTCAATACAAACGGTCATATATAAAAACCATATATAGACAGAGTCTCTATAAAGTCTCAAATGCAAACGCTGGTTCTATACGTAATAGTGTAGAAAGTTAAATCACATTGCAACGGTCAAAAAATTCAAATAACTAAAAAATTAAAAAAGAACAAAAATAAAAATAAATACAAAAACACATTAAATCATAAACAATTTTACATATTAATTAATAAATGACAACATATTTATTTTCGTTTTTTTAATGTAATTTTATATATAGGAAGAAATGTTGGTTTTGTAAAGAAAATTAAAATAGAAAATGGAAAATATTTTAACACAAAAAGTAAAAAAAGAAATAAATACAAATTAAAAAATGTATGTTTCATTTATTTTAATTACCGGCTATCATCTATGTATAGTTTTTGTTTTGTTCTCTAAACATGAAATGTTTTTGTTGTTGTTGTAGACAAATATAAATATGTATACAATTTACTTTAGGACGTAGAAGTAACAAGAGACGGTCCGTCGTCGTGTCCAAATTGTCAGTCGATTTTTTGTCATTTTTTTTAATTTTGTTATAATGTTGATATTGAATCGCATGTAATTCCGTTATGATAAGTCATAAAACGAGGGCATGTATTTTTGATTTTCAAATTTAAACAACATATTTTTGTTATTAATTTGTAACAAGAATTAATTAAATTATATCACACACATGTTACTCCACCAAAGAGCGATTTTGTTTCATTGAATTTTGATTAATTAAAATTGAATTTATTTTCAATAGCAAGTATGAATGCGCCCTCATTTTGTGATTTTTAAATTACATCAATTCAATATGCATTACATTTGTGGCTGGTCTGTCTGTCTAATTTTTGGAAACTAAAAAAAGATTTTGTAATTTGCTATCCCTTATTTTGAAATAATTTATGAAATGTTTATATAAATATAAACAGTCGTTTATATATAAACCTTTCATAAAGGAAAATAAAGGCTTCCTTTGTTTGTCGTCTATTTGAAATTGTTTGTCTGTCCGTTTTCCCCCTAATTTTGTTGTAGTGGATCGTCGTCATCATTAAAAATTAGAAGGATTTCAATTTTTGTTGTTTTGTTTTTTAATTATTTTTTTTTATTTTGTTTTTTTCTTTTTTTCTGGTTTGTTATACTGAAATTTTACATTACTATAATTGTTGTAATTAATGTTTATCATCTCTTTCTTATTTTTAATTTGATGATGATTCTTTTCTTTTTCTTGTTATCATCATTTATGTTTTGTTTTTGTTTTTCGGTTTTCTCTTTTTTGTTATAAATGTAGCCTGTGGCTAAAAAGTGATTCCTTTTTTTGTTTTAACTATAATTAATAATAATGGTAATTATTTTTGTTGTAGTTTTTTTTTGTTTTTAATCAATTTATCTTTATATATGTATATATTATTTTATATTTAAAAAGTTTAAAAATGTTGTTGTGTTTGTTGTTGTTTGTTCTTGGGATTAGTAGTAATAATAGTTGTGGTTGCAGTATTATTATTTTTGTTGTTGTTATTATTATTATTGTAAATGGATGAAGGCGCCGTCAATGCGACAGACGACGATGTGGCCGAATAGCCGGATGACGGTGAAGATAACACTGATGGTGACGACGTCATAGAGGCCGTAACAACAGGTGGTGACGAAGACATGGTTGCAAATGTTTTTATAATTGTTTCAGCAGCAGCGGCTGCAGCAGCTGCCACAGCAGCAGCACTTGTTGCAGCCGTAACCGTGTGCTGTTGTTGTTGATGATGATGATTCTGTTGGTGGTTGGGGTTGTGTTGCTGTTGTTGGTGATGATGATGGTGGTGATTATGGAGATGGTGGGGATGATGATGTTGGTGGTGTTGTTGTTGTGAGAGAACATAATTGGATTGGCCATGGGAATGCGTTGCCAAAAGCTGTTGTTGTTGCAACAAATCTTGATTTATTGTAGTTGTTGTTATAGCAGAAGAAGTATTATGGGAGTGATTCTGGTGTTGATTCACAACAGAATGTTGTTGTATTTGTGGATATTGTTGTTGTTGCTGCTGGGATGGAAAAATTGTATTTTGATTTGGGGATTGTTGTTGCTGTAACTGTATCTGCATCTGTTTCTGCTGCTGCTGTTTTTGTACAGCATGTTGCTGCTGTTGCTGATGGTGCTTCTGGTAAAGTTGCTATGCCAAACGTGGTTTCTTTTGATGTGGTGTATCTTCTTCTTCGTCCTCTTCTGCTTCATATTCATCACCCGAATCACTACCATAATCAACAAGCTGCAAAGAGAGAGAGAGAGTAAAAAGGACAAATTATTACAATGAATTTTTACAGTTTAAAAATCGATTAAAAAAATATTTTTTTAGGTGGTAAAATTGGTGAAAATTTTTTAAAAGAATTTTTTTTTCAAGGGTTAATTTTGGCGTGGATATATTAAAACAAATATTTTCAGGAGCCAAAATAGGCGTGGATTTATTAAAGAATATTTTTTCAAGATCCAAAAAAGATGTGGATTTATTAAAGAATATTTTTTCAAGATCCAAAAAATATGTGGATTTATTAAAGAATATTTTTTCAACGCATTTTTTAAAGAAATGTTTTTTTTTTTTTTTTTTTTTTTGAGGGTAAGGAAAGTTTTGAATTTTTTCAAAATATTTTTCCAGGGCTTAGAAAAACGGGGATTTTTTAAGAATATTTTTTCAAAGTCCTTAATAGGTGTGGCTTTTTTAAAGAATATATTGTCAAGGACCAAAATAGGCGTGGATTTTTTAAAGAAGATTTTGTCAAGGACCTAAATAAGCGTGGATTTTTTAAAGAATATTTTTTCAAGGGTACAAAAAAAGGCGTGGATTTTTTAAACAAGATTTTGTCAACGACCAAATAGGCGTGTAATTTTTAAAGAAGATTTTGTCAAGGACCAAATAGGTGTGTAATTTTTAAAGAAGATTTTGTCAAGGACCAAATAGGCGTGTAATTTTTAAAGAAGATTTTGTCAAAGAGCAAAATAGGTGTCGATTTTTTAGAGAAGATTTTGTCAAGGACCAAAATAGTTGCGGATTTTTTAAAGAATATTTTTTCAATGACCTATATAGGCGTGGATTTTTTAAAGAAAGGCGTGGATTTCATAGAAATATTTTTCCAAGGATTTAGAAAGGCGTGTATTTCTTAGGAATATTTTTCCAAGGATTTAGAAAGGCGTGTATTTCTTAGGAATATTTTTCCAAGGATTTAGAAAGGCGTGTATTTCTTAGGAATATTTTTCCAAAGGCGAAAATAGGCGTGGATTTTTTAAGAATATTTTTCCAAGAATTTATATATGTAGTTGACCTCTTGAAGGCCTGTAAAATTCTTGAAGAAGGGATAATATGTGACAAAGAAGTCTTCTGCATATAGTCGATCTCCAGAAGAGATATCACTTGAGGATGATATATCAATAGAAGACAAATTCAATTCTATCTCTTCTATCTTGAAGGTATTTTACCTGCAGAAAATCTATTGAAGGCCTTTTATCTGTAGAAGTCCTCAAGAAGGTCTTATATTTGTATGACTTCTTAAAGTACTTATATTTGCAAAAATCCTCTTGAATATCTTCTATCTTATGAAATATCTTCAGAATGGTAATAGAAAATCTCTTGAAGAAAATCTCTTCATTTACTCAAGGTCTATTATAGGTCTAAGAATATTTCCAAGGTATAATATTTTTTCATGGGCTTAGTCTTTTTAATGCATATTTTTATGGCCTATGAATATAATTTCAAGGACTAAGATATTTTTAAGAATGTTTTTCATCATCTATACAAGGCGCTGACTTTTTAAAGAATATTTTTTAGAGCCAAAGAATATTTTTTTAATATCTAAGAATATTTTTTCAAGGGCTTGGACTATTTAAAAATATTTGTGTAAGGTCTACGAATATTTTTTCGAGGGCCTGGACTTAAAAAAAATATTTTTCAAGTTTCTTTAAATGTTATCTTCCTCCTTACCTTCTTTAGAATATTTTCGCCTGGTAATGTTGTTGTGGTTGTGTTTCCTCCTGCTGGTGTTGCAGTTGACGATGATGACGATGATGTCGGCGCTGCCTCCTTATTATTATCCGTTGTTGTTGCTGCTGCTGCTTGTGTGTTTGCTGCTGCATTATTACAACTATTAAGTTTATTCGCTTCAACACTGGCCGCTACAGCAGCTACTGCGGCTGCTGCAACCGCTGCCACAGCTTCATTTGAGGCCATTGTCGATAGCAATTGTGTTGCGGCCGCAGCTGCAGCTTCTGTCAGAGCACTTGTTGATGGACCAGCCGTCGATGATGATGATGAAGTCGGTGATGTTGATGATGATGCTGACGATGGTGATAACGTTGCATTTGCTGCACCGGCAGTCGGTGAATTTGCCGTTGCTCTATCATCGCTACCAATTGCCGTTGCACTGCCACTGCCACCACCACCTAACGCCGCCAATTCCTGTTGCTGTTCAACTGCTGCCAATTGTTGTTGTAATTCCACAATATCACTTTGTTGTTGCGTCTGTTGCGCTTCCAAATGCGCTGCAGCCGCTACCGCCGCCGCTGCTGCTGCTGCCGTTGATGTACTAGCCGCTGCTGATACACCAGCCACAGCAGCTGCGGCCGCTGCCGCAACTAAAGTGCTATTCAGATTCAATTGTTGTTGCTGCTGCTGTTGCTGTTGATAGCTATGCAGTGAGTGAGACGACTGTTGTTGCTGCTGTTGTTGTTGATGTTGTAAAGATAAATTTGCTGCTGCTGTCGCTGAGGCAGTACCCAAATGAGCGGCGGACGTTTGCTGTTCACTACTATTGCAATTACTACTACTAGTACTGCTGCTGGTGTCTTGGAGTACTGCTGCTGTGTTGGAGGGTGTTGTCTGTAGGCCTGCATTACTGTCACCAAGTGCTGCTGCCACCACCACTACTGTGGAGGGTGTTGTCTGTAGGCCTGCATTATTGCTGCACTGCAGTTGTTAAGGCTGAATTACTGCAGCCAACGCCGCCACCACCACTACTACCGGTTGATGTATGATTTGATGACGTCGTCGCGGTTGCTGTACTGTTCAAACTATTGGTAGATTGATTACCACTCAACATACTGTTACTGGTGTTATGCTGTTGCTGCTGCTGCAGTTGTTGTGCATTTTGCGGCGGTGATTTTTGTTGTATTTGCTGCTGAGATGTGGGTGAACCATTTTTATCTGTAACAGCTGTGAAGGAAAAAGATGAGGGAGCGTTATTATTAAAATGTTCAAAAAGTTTTTTTTTATAGGAGATCTCATTAAGTTAGTCTATCTGT